TGAGCATGCCCCAGTGCCAGGCCCAGAGCCTTCGTGTATGAATTTGCCAGTGCACACACCCACAAAACCTACACCCTGCACACAGGGCTGCCACTGAATGGGTCTGCTTCTTTTGCCCTGCCAACACTTCTCCATTATGGGAGCAAGAGCCCCCACACCTGTAAACCTCAGACCAATTTCCCAGCTGCCCCACTGACCCCAAGGGATTCACACCAGGGCTAGGCTGGGTCTCTGCTCTCTGTGTACCAGCAGAGCTGGCACTGGCTGCAGACTGGACCCCAGACCTGGGACCATCCTTTCCTGAACAAATCAGAGCAGGAAGTCTGTGCCAGCCCCTAAAGTCCCAGCACCTTCCCCCACCTCCTCCCAAGCATTACCTGGCATGGGCTCCGAAGCACTGGTGTCCATGCTCATGGAGGAGCTGCTGCTGCTGAGCTTCTTGCTGAACAGTGGGGTGCTGGGCACAGCCACAGTACTAACAGCTGCTGAGAAGCACAACAGTGGCTTTCACTAGCCAAACCCACCCCGTTACATAGCGACCAAGGGGCAGAGTGCAGTCACTGCTCACAAGGCCTCCCTCAGGTTGGGCCCCTGTGCCCCTGACACACAGAGGTGGTATGGAGTGCAGCACTGGCATGCAGAGGATGCAGCAAGCTGTCAAGCCTACAGGGGCACCTCACATGCTGGATGAGCCACTCTATTATCAAGTACCTGGGCGTGGGACTAGCTGGGTGCCCTCCGTGGCTGGCATGGTGAAGTCAGACTCCCAGATGGGAGAGTTCTCCCCATAGATCTCCTCCTCCAGCATTGACAGGAACCTGGGTGCAGGGTAGCATAAAATATGAGTCAGCAAGACCACCAGAGGAGGGCACATGCAGCTTAGGGAACTGGAAGCCCTACCCACATGACAGCACAGTGTCAGCCACAAGAGAGCACGACTGTTGCGCTCGCTAGTGGCAGGGGAGGACAGAGCCGCTAGAAGCCTCACCCAGCCAGGACAGCCCATGGTAGGTTCAGTACCCAGTGCCCACGCCCTGCCACAAGCATTAATCCTGAGTCCACAACACCTAGGAAAGAGCTTGGCTGCACTCCTTGCCTCTTGTGGAGGACTAAGAGGAAGAAGAGCTGCCATTGACCCTTCTGGGGCCAGGCTGCCTACTTAGGGAAGTGGGTGAGGATAAGCGTCCGCTTCTCAGGCACCAGCTTGTCCTTCTCCACCCGGAACTTCTCCAGCAGCTGCCGGCGGGTGACGGTGAAGATGGACTTGAGGAGGCTGCGGCCGAAGACATGAGTGGTCTCATAGCGGGGCAGGCTGTCGCAGCTCTGGGGCACGTGGCAGTAGCACAGCCATCTAGGCAACAAAACAGCAGACACTCCTAGAGACTGGCCCATTTCTGGTCCCTGGGTGTGGCGCCCCAGAGGGCTGGCTTCATGAACAGGGCAAGCAGCCATGGGCTTGGCAGATGCATCTCACAGGGAATGGGATGGGCAGGGGAGCCAGAGAGGAGTCAGTGGCTGCAGTCAAGAAGGGAGCCCTTCCCCAACAGAGTGCTAGACAAAGCGAGACCTCTTTGCTCCCAACCAAGGACATAGATGTGTCAGCTTGCGGGCCCTTGCCCTCCCAGACTACTCCCACCCCTTCCATACAACATCCTAGCAACCTATTAAGTAAATGTAACACTGCCCAGCAAGGCTGCAGGTTCGCAGCCCAGTGAGCCTTTGCCATGAGTGCCATGAGGATGCCCAGCTCTGAGCCTGCAGGAGTAGAGATGAGATTGGAGTGGGACTTGTATCCGTTTTCAAGGAGTCTGATCAGATTCTCAGGGTTTGCTGGGCTCATAGCTGGCAGTGTGGCAGGAACCAGGACAAGAGATGCTGGGACTAGAGCAGATAGGGCAGTTCAGGGGAGAAAGACGTCTCATAGTTCCCAGGCTGCAATGGTCCGGCATGGATGGAAAGTCAGTGAAGCTTTGGACAGTGTCTGCCCAGGCTCTGGGGCCAAGGAGGAGCTAAGAGCCCCAAAGCAACGTGTCCCATGAATCAATGACAAGCACTGAGAACACAAAGGTAATGTATGTAATGACTCCTCCCTGCTCTGCCCTGACACAGGGACCACCCATTTCAGCTCCCCTACCCCCAACATCCCAGAACTCCAGCACTCACCTGGTGTAGTTCACCTTGTAGGTGGCAACGTCATCATTTTGAGAGCGCTGCCGGAACTGTGAGGGTGTCTCCAGCTTCCAGTAGTTGAGGCACAGCAGAAACATCTTGGAGAGTTCATACATGGTCTGTCGCTCCTTGGGTGGCAGGTGACTGAACTTGTACTGGACAAAGTTCAAGACTCCCTGCGAGAGGAGGAGGCAGGTGGGACATCAGGGATGAATGAAGCTGTGGGATGCCCCAGCTGGAGGCGCCACCGCATCATGGTCAGTGCTAAGACAGCTCCATACAAAGTGCCTTGCAGCTGTGCAACAGGGTTGTTGGCATGGCTTTACAAAAAGCTTAGACAAGCACTTGTATAGAACAGTTTAGATAGGGATGATCCTGCTTTGAGCAGTGGGCAGAGCCAGACAACTTCCTGAGGGCCTACTTTTCTATGGTCCTATGACCAAGGGATGGTGAGGGTGCAGAGGGTGAGGTTAATGGGCCAGGAGAGCCAGAGAGGCAGCATGGAATAGCTGCAACCATCAGCAGAGACTGGGGTTCAGCTTTGCTTCAAGCAGTAAGTAGGTTGGGGTAGGGCGGGAATGAAGTAACATCACGCTGCAAAAGTCTGCCCATAGGCTGGCAGATCTGGCAACTGTGCATAAAGAGAGAGATACCCATAAGACTGCTGGTCAGGAGTGAGAGGGGCCCAGTTGCAGAACACAGGGGCAGGCGACTTGCATCCAATTACCAGATGTGATGTTGCCACCACAGCCAGAGAGCTAAGGAAAGAGATGGGCAGGGCAGAGCAGGGTGGGAGAAGCATGGACAAAGCTGCACACAGCAGGTGTGGAGTCAGAAGAGAGGACTGCAGCCCAGCAGCTTCCCAGCTCCATGCCTCTCCATCACATCCGTGCCTCCAAGCATAGAGACCCTCTGGCACACTGTTGCACCAAAATGCAGCCTGGTTTGCTCCTGAAGAGCCCAGGAGAACCTCTATCTGGGAGAAGCATCACTGAGCTGCAAAGAAGCTCTTCCAGTTTTACAAGGGGTAGGAGAGAAAGGAGGAAGGAGGCTGAAGACCATGATATAAAACAGCAGGTACAGGAGGCAGTGACAGCAGCACCCCCATCCTGGGAGGCCCTGGGCACAGACACACTAGGGGATTGCTATAGCAGAAGAGGTTGTTGCGACAACCAATGCCCACTGTGAAGCGCTCATGTTACCTGCTCAATATTGGGCTTCTCGAAAGGTGGGCTCCCAAGGGACCCTTCCACCACTGGACGGCTCATTTGCAGGATGCACTTTCTCAGGAGCTGCAGGACATAAGGAGGCTGTTACACCACCAAAGGCAGAGCAAGGGCAGGGGTTAGCCGGCTGCAGAAAGGGGTTCCAGCAAGACCAGGAGGAACAAGCCAGAGACCAGGCAGCCCCAGCACTGAGGGCAGCTCCCATGTGCTCTAGGGCCTGGCTGGCCCCTGCCTGGAGCCTGTAGGTGCCTGTCTGCAAAGGCAGGAGGGCAGCCCCTGCCCCAGGGTAGCACCCAGGCGTGAAGCCCCTTCCTTTCCCCATGCAGGCCTGCCCCTCCAGAGCCACAGCACCCAGGTGTGGGGGCGGCAAGACAGATCCCACTGCACCCCTGCCTCTGCCAGCCAGCTTTAGGTCCCGCTGGACTTTAGGTAAAAACAGCAGGGAACTTCCCAGTGGTCAGTGGTGCGACACGCAAGAGGGGGCCCTCTATATTTTGGGGATTCTGAACTGGGGGCCCTGTGAGAGTGCATCGAGGGGGCCACATGGCCTGGGCATTGCCTTCAGTGCAGCCAGCTGCAAAGCTGGCCAGGCCTGTGGCAAAGCATGCCCAGTTCTTCCTTTGAAGATAATTCTCCCCACAGGCCTTGGCTCAGGCCTTCCGTGCAGTTTCCAAAGAACCACCTTGCTGCTGGGCTGATTGAACAGGTCTGCAGGCACCTAACAAATCAATCCCCCGCTAAGCCTAGATCCCAAAACAGACTTCTGCAGCACGCTCCCCAAAGAGCTGGCCTATCAAGACACTGCGTCCAGCAAAACCAGAACTGCAACAGCATGCAGGCACACAGATCTGACTCTTGGTGAGAGGTCTGTCTAGCAGCCCAGCATCAAAGGGCCACCATGTCAGAGGCTGGGAACGGCCTAGCATACTGCAGGCAGAAAACCTTAATTGTGTACAACCCCTAGCAGCTCCACATGAAATCAAAACCTTGCAGGGGGGAGTTAGCCAAGCCCAGTACTGGGACAGAGTTTGGGGAGAGCTCATAGCACATGGGTGCTTAACACCCCAAAGGCAGCCAACAGGGGAGGCAGGGAGAAGGGGCCTGCTCTCTACCAGCTGCTTTCCATAAGCTTCAGGGGCACCAATGTCCTATGGAAGAGCGGCTAGACACTGCTGCTGAATTGGAGGGACGTGACCACACAGCCCAGCTGGCCGCCAGCCCCAGCGCCAGCTTGCGCGTCACCCGGCAACAGAGCAGGGACCCCGGGGCACAGCCCCAAGCAACGCACCTTGAACAGGTAGAAGTACACTTGCTTGGTGTCCGTGTCCTCCTCTTTGTGGACCGACATGAAGAGGTTTTCCACATCCACCACCATGCCCAGCAGCCGGTTGATCTCCTCCTCCGAGACGTTCTCCAGGTGGGACACATGGTCGGCTGCGGGGCCGCGGCCAAGGGACGGCGGGTCAGCACTGGCGGCCGCGCGCAGCCACCCCTTGGCCCCGCTCCCCCTGCCCAGGGCTTACCCAGGGCGTGCCCGCAGCTCCGGCACGGCTCGCTCAGGTTGGCCACCGGCTGCTGCAGGTCCATGCGGGGCGCCGTGGGCGGGTTGGGGTTCTTCCACCCATTGCACTTGCAGGCGTCGTTGGCCTGCGCGGGGGCAGCAAGAGAGCGTGAGGGGGGCCGGGGCCGGGCTCAGGGGCGGGGCAAGGGGGTGCTGCCGGGGCAGGTACCTTGCAGGCGGAGAAGACCCCCAGCTTCTCCAGCTTCTTGGCGCGGGGGAAGCCGCGCACCTGCGCCTTGCGCTGGCTGGCCCGCTGCTGCTGGCTCAGGCCCGGCCGCGCCGGGTCGCTGGAGCCCGCG